GATATTAACAAGTTTTGACTTGAAAAACAATTTGCTAATACACAAATTATTCATCTATTATTAATAAATATATTATCAATTACGAATAATTGTTCACAACACAACACTATTTGGAATGTCGTTTTTTTTTATTTGTAACGAACCCACGTTCTGGTCTTGGGTTGATACGTAGTCCGTACAACTTTTATTGACCATGTAGATTCTTTAATTCCTCCAAAAATGGAAATGTGATGCTAAAAAAAAAACAAATTGCAGTTTTGAAGCTGAGACCTTTCTCTACAAAGTTACGATTTCATTTTGTCAATATGTCACGTTGTCATGGAAAAATTAAACTCCAAAGTTGCACAAATTCTAGATAGCTATAAAATTTAAAAAATCATAAACCCTCCTACATTATAGACGAGGTTCCTAGTAAACTTACTTCCAAAGAAACTCACCTTTGCATAAACTGTTATAACTCATCATACAGACGAGAATTTTTAATTCTGAAAAATGATTTGAGCTCGCAGAACATCTACAATATATTTATTAACATTGATGTATTTTATATTGCAAATGTAATTTTTGTCATAAATTCTAAAGGGTCATCCTATATACAGAAAGGTTCTTTTTATGAAATATACAGAATCTATGTGACAAATAAGAATTTATTTTTGGAGTTGGTAAGCATTCCATAACTCCTACCACCCCAAGCCTCACAAGTTTAATCATCACATACAGATAACTGTCACGAGGATGTTACAAAAATTTGAGCCATTTCCTTTTTTATAGAATAAATTTCCATTTTTGGTAGGGTACTGTATATTTCAAAAAAAGAACCTTACTGTATATAGGATATTCCATTCTAAATGTTTATTTAAAAAAATCATAATAGACAAAAAAAAACAGCATTAGACAAGGTTCCTATGAATTAAAAGCAATTTTTAATTTTTTTTCTAGTAACAAGTTCAGTTTTGCGGTTGAGCTAGTTTTATTAAATTTGGACCGATTTTATTTGAAACCAGTTCGGGTTTTGTAAAAGAGATTAAAATCAGTTCTAACCTCTATCTGGATTTCGAAGTTTTGGATATTGGATAGATAAATCGGTTATTATTAAATTTTCGTTGAGTTGTATTTGCTTTAAAGTTAACATGTACTTTTCACATCAATTTGGATAAGGGCTTCCACGTCAACTACTATCGTTGAAATATTTACAATATGAAATGAAAGTGGCTCATACAATTTTTGGTGCCTTCCAGACCTTTTTTTCGGCTGATTTCGAGTAGAATTATTATTACACACAAATGATTTCAATTTTCAATTTTCAACCAAACCACCTAAAATTAGCTTAATGTTAAGGCGGGTTAAGATAGGGTCTAAGTTTAGGGAATTCAAAAAGGTTTAGGTCACGGTATTTATTTCGATTTCGATTTCGATTTTAATACTAATACTAATACTAATACTAACACTGAGTATGAGGGTATTTTGATTTCGAAAACTGGTGTATCTTTGATTGAATTTCGCCATCATGTATGGATTATTAAACTAATTTGGTCAAGTTAAAAATTTTTTCTAGTGCGAAGACCCATTTTATTGTTCAAAAAATTTTGATTTCCGTGGTTTTGAAAAATATACATTTATTCGTTACTAATATCCAACCAAGTCTGCATTATCCTTACGGTATACCCATATATAATAATTTTTTTTTGATAAACCAAAGTTAAAGAAATATTCCAAGATTTAATTCCCAAATAATGTTAATAATAAACAATAATCTTTTTTCACCTAATTGGTATTATATTAATCAAAAAGAATTGTTTGGTTTTTTTTTTCACTATTCAAAGTTCGTGATTCTTTCTCTTCTTCCTCAACATTGTTAATAATATTATCACCATCATCACTGATAGTCTTATCATCGTCATAATCATCAGCATTCATTCCTTGAGAATTGTAATTATCATCATCATCATCTTTTTTGTTCAAACTTGAAATAATGCCATCGACTTCATTACAGTCACTTCTCTTCTTGTAAGTGTATATTTTCACACATCCATCTATTTATTAATTAATAATTATTAATAATTAATGGTTAATGATTAATGATTATAATTAATAGTAATAACTAATAATTAATATTTACCATCACCACATGTAAATAATAAAGGTTTCCAAGGGTGAAAAATGACATCTCTGACTTCATACTCTTTATAAATATATGAATATATATATATTTATTACTTATTGTTAAAGAAAAAGAAAACCTTTTAAAAAATAATTACTTTCATGATCATCAAGTATTGCAACAATATTTCCAGTCCTTAGATTAAATATACAAACTTCTCCTTTCATTGTTGGTGCAGCAAGATACCGACCATTTGACGAAACTTTCACAAACCAAGAATTAGATACATAACTTTGCCCCCCCCAAAAAATAAAATAAGAAAATGATTAGATTAATGGTAAATAACGATGATTTGTTAACAATAATATCAATTGATTTCCTTTTTACTTACCTATCATGTTGAAAGATTCTAACTTTTTCTAATAGAAAATCTTCGCCATTTCTAGCTGGATATATCAACTTGTGTAAAGTACAAACATTATCTAATAATATTTGAATGCAAAAATCATGAATCAATACTAATGATAATAATAAATTATTATCATGTATACACATTCGTTATACCTATTTTTGCATATTCAGACACTATAGTCTCAACACCTCTAGTTATAAAATATGCATATTGAAGAGGAGTGGCAGTAGACTCTGATGGCTGTGGTGATTTACATCTATTCCCAGATAAAATTTTCTTTTTTATTCTATAATCATCACCATCACCATCACCATCACCATCACCATCACCACCATCACCACCATCACCACCATCACCACCATCACCACCATCATTATCCACATCTTGGCCATTTATATCCTCCAATGGTTCTACTGGATATATGAATTTTACACAATCACAATATTGTGAATAAAGGCTTTCTTCAAAATTTTGTAAAAGCTAAATCAAAAAGAAAGTTAGAAAAATTTACAAGACAACTTATTAAAAACAACCAAAAAATTTTATTATTATTACCTGACCAGTTTCAAAATCATATAATTTAATTATATCATCTATAGCAGCCAAAAAATATTTATTACCAGTATTTGGAAGAAATGAAATATAAAATACTATATAACCATCTTCGATAAGTATTTTTTCTTTTAATGTACTGAAATTTTATTTAAAAATTTTTTAATCAATTAACATCATTGCGTTTGAGTTTCAATTTAAAATTAATAGTTTCCTTACATCCAATCATCGTCCATCTTCCATTTAATAAAATAACCATCTTGACTTGTAGTTATATAATAATTTTCTCCTTTAAATATAACACTTTTAATAGATAAAACTTCTTCAACATGTCCCTCAAGTTTACCAATACATTCTCCCGCGATAACATCAAAAATCTAACAATATAGATATTAGTGCATTGAAAAAATTGGTGAATCGCTAAACTATTTTTTTTTTAAAGTTAACCTTTAATGGACCTGGTAATACGGGATTATCACGCTCTTCTTCATCCCATTTGTACCGATCCTTTAACTTTCCACCAACAATCAAATGTGTATGGCTAGGTGTAAACTTTCCAACATAAAATTCATCGATATTCTTTTCCTAATAATAAAAATCGCCCTTAAAAAAAATTTCTTTTTCTTGCTTAATAAAAAACCCCCCACACATAACTTTTAAATTCAATCAAATCTTACTTTCACATCTCTCATTTTTTGAAGCATTCTAAAATCTATGGTATCCCATATTTTAACAACTCCGTAAATACTAAGTGTAGCAAGCATTGTACCATCAGGTGAAAGAACCATACCAAGAATAGAACCTTTGAATTATGTGATTGGTGAGTGGCAAATAAATTATTATTATTATTATTGTTTTTACAATATTTATTAAATAATAATTGTTACCATAATCTGATACATCTACATTAAGTAATTCAAGTACATGCTCTTCGTTTATATAACTTATCATTCCATAACCACTCTCAGCATGAAATTGCCAATACTCATCAGGAAATTCTTTAGACAATTTATTAACCTCCATTACATTATACGTTTGAACTATTATTTTCTAATTCATTTTTTGTTAATAAAATAGTTATCATGTTAATTTTCGATTGATTTTTTTAATAGCCAAACAAAGAAAATCTATATGATCAATACTTCTGATTGTCTTTTCTTTGATTCTAAATTATTGTTTGATGACATCTCATCATCATCATTTTTATCAGTAACAGTTTTTAATTTTTGTTTCATTAAACTAGGTTTTGATTTGCTGTCACTCTTAATGTATTTTGAGTCACTATTTATTCTACCCGAAGATGATGCTGTTGTTGTTGTTGATGACGATGAACCTAATGATGATGATGATGATTCATCAGCTGCATTTTCTTTCTTGTCTTTATTACTAGTTATGCCAGTTCTTTTTGATAGAGTTTGATTAGCTTTTGAAGTTATTTTAGAAAATTTGGTTTTTATCACGTTTGATTTTCTTTTTCGAGAAGTTGGTGACGATAATGTTTTTTCAGCTGTCTTTGACTTTTCATGTGTTGATTTTCGAAGTATTTGTTTGAATTCAGACTACAAATTAAATATTTTAAACGTTTGCAAAAAAATTAAAAATGACAAATTAATTCTTTTTCTTACAGCAGATCTTGCGGCCGTTCTTTGAGTCATCTTTAAAAAAGTATCTGCAAAAAAAATTTTACGCGATATTATATAATTTTCTTATTAAATTAAAAAAGAATTATTTTCCTTTTTTTTAAAAAAAAATTTCAGTTTTAATTTTTAAAACGGTCGTGCGTGAATTTTAAATTTGCGTGAAATTAAATGAGCCAATCACATTGTAGTCAGCCTTTCCATCAAAATGTTACGATATAGATTTGCAGTTATATATAAATATACAAATTTCTATTGAGATGACATCATTGTTGCATTAAATAACTCACAAATCCTTCGATATTTAAACGAGATAACAATGTCATAATCGCATTTCTTTTAGCAATTGTACTTACACATCGTGTACTGGTATTTGTTCCTTACATTGAAAGCAACACTTCAAATCTTTATATTTCTTTTCGTCTGTTGCATAGACATTGAATATTATGTTTTCTTTTAACGGGGATCATTTACAAAGAAAAAAAAAAGGCGAAATCGATCTCATAATTGGATAAATTTATATGCAAAAAAAATTAATTGTATTTTGTAAATTTTTTTGTTTATGATTCTTTATTATTAATTTCCAATCCATTATTTGAATCATTCAGGTCCTCTTTATTATTGTCATTATTGATTTCCAAATCACTGTTTGTATCATCACTATCATCATCCTTCTCCTTTTTTACCCCCTCCTCCCCCTCATTATTATTATTATTATTTTTCCATCTTCTTTTCTTTCTACTTTCTTCACTAAATTTCCTTTGCGGGATAACTTCCAAGAATGCTTTTTCCCAATCTTTATGTTCCAACCATTTAATAAGTATGTCAAATACTATATATTATCAATATAATTATTCATTAGTAAATTCATTTATAAATCATTTGTCCCAGTCTAATCATTTATTAATATATTTACCGTGATTTATAGCAAGAACTTTTCTTGAAGATAATTTGATAAAATTCTCGATTGGTAATCTGGCAGTTTCAATTCCTTCTTCTACAGCTTTATTATAACAAAGTGACTATCATGATGCATAATAATAATTAAATACATTGTAATTCATTATTATTAACATCCATTTTTAATATTTACCTTGTGTCTGTTTTTATCAACAATTCCTCCAATAATATAAATATTATTTTCATCCAATGTGTTGATAATATTATCAGAATCTGCTGTCAAATAAATCAATTTACCATTACCGCCATCGTCGCCACCATCACTATTGGTTCTATTGTTATTATCAGTATTGAAATAATTTAAATAATATTGAGAGTGGAATGAAATGTTTTTCCAATTTAAATAATCTTTTAGTCTCAAAACAAATCTTTCTTCGATACGTTTATTAAACGAAGTGAATATTAAATCTACTGGATTTATAGTTGATCTATTTGTTGAATAACATCTTGTCAATTGAGAAGATAAAGAAATTATTTCCTAGAGATTAATAAAAATTCAAATTAAGATTTTACATTGGGGAAAAAAAAGCAAAGAATCAAATAATTACTAACTGCGTCATTCATATATTCATCAAATGATAAATCTATTATTATTTTAACATTAGTTTGTTGAATTTCTTCTAATTTGAATTTTGGTTTTTTGAGTTTTGGCGAGAGCAATCCCAACTTGAATGCTTTCTTTCTTTCTTCTTTTCTTTTTCTATCCTTTTCTTTTAGTATGGCTTTGCGTTCTAATTTTGTTTCTTCCCATTTTTTTTGTTTTAATAATTTTTTCAATGCATTTTTTGATAAATTACTTGTTTCTACTGGTAATTTTGCTGAGGTTGTTGACATTGAATTAACATTGTTGCTAATATTACAAGCATAATTTTCACCATCACCATTATTATTTTCTTCCTTTGTTGACATTTATTATTATTCTCTTATTGCAAAAGATCAAAAAGATCATAAATTCCCATAGAAAAAATTTCTTAAATAAGAAATAAATAATAAATGTTTTTATTAACCAACTATATATGGTATTCTCATTTTCTTAATGTAAATTTTTTCAAATAATTAGAAATTATGGTAAAAATAGAACTTTTATATATACGTATGTGGTTATTGAACCTTAAGATTTTAAGGATTGGCAAAAAATTTTGGTGTAGTATACTATAAGACTAATATTAATAGTAATAGTAATAGTAATAGTAATAGTAATAGTAATAGTTACATTGATTGCTTTAAAACATTTCAGAAAAAACCAACAAACAATTGCCAAAATTTCTTGACCATTTAATATCTAACATTTAACCTTTAATCAAAATTTACAAACTTTTAAAATTATTTTAATGGGATGGGACATAAGACAGAAAATAAAAAGAAAAACCAGTCAATTCTCCCCACTATAGTGAAAAGCTCAAATTTATTTGCGAACACCACTTCTATCTGTCACCAAAGAAGATTTAACAGAAGAGTTGGTAATTGTTAGTTCGTTCTTATAACAAAATAAAAGTTATCATACTTCCTACTTGTAATCCTGGAAGAAAAGCCGGAAACCTTATCACCGAGATGTAATTATCTGGATTTTGATCTTTGTCGATGATGCTCCTATCATTCATTATTGATGAGATGGATGAGATGATGAGAAGCAGAATATAAGAAATATGTCTCGAAGCGCACACATGTGAAGGGAGAAGAAAAGTTGATAATGGTAAATAAATATATTTGGTTATAATTCTAGTATTTTTGATGATGTTATAGCTAGCTATACATCGCATGCAGCCCAAATTGTTTTCCTGTCAAATTTGATTATGATTGAATTATGACACACATGTAACGATAATTTCATATTATATAGTTGTTGCTATTATTATTTATGGTGTAAAAGACTCAAATCCCAATTATGATTGAATTATAAGATTTTACGCGTATTACTTTCCAAAAATTCCATTTTTTATTAGTTTTCTAAATTCTCACAAATAAATTTCTCTTTCCTTAAGTTCTCGAGTGTCAGTTAATTTATATAAATATATACATTAGAAGATGCTATTTTCTCACCTTCTAATAGCTTTGTAATTCTTGAGCTCCATGGTGTGTCTTATGTAAATAATTTCATATTAATATTTTTGTGTAGGAATGAATAGCATACATAGTGGAAATTTGAAATGTTACACTAATTTTTTATATTGTGCAACGTAGCTTTACAATACGTGGCAAACATTCTGGCAATAAAAAGTAAGTGATAAACTGGATTTGAATTGGATCTGAACTTGATCTCCAGTTTAGAGAGGTAACAACTATATATTGGTAAAGCTTCAGGAGCAATGAGTTCTATATAACATTTCTTGTAGCAACAAACTTCCATTATACTAGGAAAGCAGGAATAATAATTATTATCAATATCAATACACAACATTAAGGGGTACAAGAGTTTAGAAAGTTGAACTGCGGTTAATTATGGTTCCATCTTTGGATTGATCAAAAAGTTATTATATGTAGTTAGTAGATTGCGTGTGGATCATGTTATTGCAGGTTGATGCTGGAAAATATTTCAATGAGATGTTTTGATTTTCTTTTTTGAAGTTTTTTTTTCAATTTGATATTCAAGAGATTGCCATCATAACATTACATAATGAAAGATCACTGTGCCACTGTGGCGTCATTCCAAATTAATTATTCAATAAAAAAAAACATGTTTAATATTACTAAACGCGCATTTAGTTAGCACTAGTCCTAATGAATTTTCTTATTTTGTTATTTATATTATTGTATTACTTGACTCGGCATTTCTTTGCCCCAAAATAATAAAAATTTCTTCTTTTTAAGAAAATTTTTTTATTTTTTATTCCTTATTACGTTGCCAAGTACCCTTAATCTACACTCATACAAACATCATTACATTAACTCATTACATATATAAATATAAATAAAATGTCTCCAAGTCACAATTCAGAACAAATCATTACAAATAATTTAAAAAGTCCAATCATGAATTCACATATTGTACGTATTGTACATGTAGGTGAACAAACCTTTCGTATTTGTCACCAAACATTAACTTTTGATTCTCCTAATTTTTTCACTCAAGCCTTTCTTGGAGAAAATTCTACTAATAATGTAGAAGGGCAACAACAACAACAACAACAACAGTCAAATGATTCAGATGGTGGTGAGGTAGTAGCACCATCTTCATTAGAAAAAAACGAGATTCATCAAAAACCTTTGATTACTGATAACAATAATTCTAGTATTACTACTTCTGCAAAAGCTAATAACAGTAATAAAGCAATTTATAATAATAACAATACATCAGATAATGAAATTGTTCTTGATAGGGATCCTAAATTATTTGAAGTTATTTTGAGATATCTTAGAGGTTATAATATATTTCCACTTTCGTCTGTCAATCTACCACCAGGAATGTCACTTGATTTATTTCGTGAAAGTTTATTAGAAGATGCAAGATTTTACGGATTTGAAAAACTTGCTCAACTGTTACAAGCAGAAACACCTTCACCACTGCGTTACAAAGATCCATTCACCTCGACAGATAAAATTCTTTTATCATTACGTGACGTACCGATTCATAAAGATTTCATTAAATCAAAACTGGAAGACAACGACAATAACTCGACGGTTGAATTTTTTACTGGTGCTGTACTAACTATTGAATTTGATGCTTCGAACAGTAGTTTGTGTTTTAAAACAAAATTCCTAAACGAACAAGATGAAAAAGCTTTAAAAACTTTGGGAGAAATTTGTGGCAAGGATTCAGCAATTGAGTTGTCACGGCATTTGAGTACAAGTTGGAATATGAGCGATACATTGAATGGGATACGATTGGAAATTGATGGTGTGCAAGTCACTGGTGTAGATTTAGCGTCACTTGTCGGAGCTCATAATTCTGGAATGAAAGCTTTAGAAGATATGCTTAGATCTTCTGGTGGTGAACGTTTAATAATTTACGCTCAAGAATTTGTTTTCAGATTAGATAATCTAAAAAAACCCAACAAATCTAATAATAACAGCAACAATTGTTATCACGTTAATGGCCATAATGATGACAATAATGGTTGTGGTAGTAGTAGCAGCAGCAGCAGCAGTAATGATGTTGATGTGAATGTTGATTCTGATGTTATTGTGGATTCTGATGTTGTTGAACATGATAATGAAGAGGATAATGTTGAAGAAGTAGAAGAAGATTATCAGAATAATAATGGTAAAGATGTGATTGTTAGTAATGGTAAAGACAAAAATGTCGAAAGTAAAGGTGATGATGACTGTGATAATAATGATAAGATAAAAGAAAATAATGATGTATATCTTGGAGTTGTATGGGCTAAAGGTTGGACACAGGAATGGTGGGCTTGGAATGAATATAGAATGAAATTAGATACTCTTCAATAATATATAGATTTATTATATTATATTTTAATATCATCCATCCACTCACTCATTTACTTAATTATTCACTCATATCACACTCACGCATTTTATAAATATATATATTTAAACCATTTTTTTTTAAAATTACTATTATATTATTTATTGCATTTATTAATATATTATTTACCATCAAACATAAAATTATTAAAAAATTAATTTATCATCCATCATATTAAATATTCATATGATTTTATTGATTTGGTTGTAACTACATCATCGGCATGTGTTTGTATGCATATCAACTTTACTGGGATCAATTCCTGGAAATTAACTTATTATGGTTAAAATTCTTATTTTGAAAAAATCCGTGTCCAAGTGAGGAAGTCCCTCCCTACTTTTATAAACTGAATCACATGTCATAAAAGAGTTGATAAAAATGGATTTTAAGATTTATAATTGTACTGATTATCTCATTATAAGTTTTGTAAATAGATCACAAGGGATCAAAATGAGCACTATTAATATGTTGTTTTCTCCAAGCAATTACCAATACAGAACATCGCACCACCACCTAATGCTCTCTCTCTTGTTTGGTATTTTGTAATTCTTTGACTCGCTTTTTTAAAGTGACAACAGAAAAATTGTTATCAGCGATATTGCTAACTTCTTGCTTAACATGTTCTTCTTTTACTTTCTCACACAGTCTTGTAAAGCAGAATAAAAATACTCTTTTTTTGAAAGCTTTCTGACTTATCGTCAGTAAAAATATCAAAATCTGATTGATTTCCCTTACCCAATTTACTTTGCTGCGTGTATATAGTTCTGTTCCTACTAATACATATTGTGTAACAAAAAAACCCGGTTATTTGTTTCTCAGCGGAAATAATTAATATTTAATATTAATATTAGAACCAAAAATGGAAATTTAGTTCAAATTTTCGTACACGGGACATGTCCGCCTAATATTAATATTAATATTGAACGGACATGTCCCAGACAATGAATGTTCGCTTATTTACTTTAAATGTCTCGGACGTCAGTGACTAGTGTACAAGCCACAAGAATTGATGACTCATATGTAAGTGATGAAATAATCTAAATGACATAGTTACAATAATTAATCCACCAGAGGAAAATGAAAGCCAGAAAGAAATAATCGAAGAACTTCCACCTGTTACAAATAAAGAGGCCTTGTCAGCAATAAAAACATTAGAAATTTACATTGACCAACAAACAATCGAAAAGAAAAATTAAAAAAATTGATTTTAACTCACAACAACAATCCACACTAGATGGCCTTTTTAATATTGAATAAGTATGCAAATTATAAATAGTTTACTTTCATTTATTTCATTTATACAAAATAAAAATCTTTATATTGTATCACGTTATGACTATGATCTGCAAACTCTCTATAACGGTCTCTCTCTATAACGGCCTTTTTTTGCCAAATAGGCGGGCCGTTATAGAGAGAGTGAACTGTATGTGAAATTCAAATTGGCCAATCGGAATTTCACCCCACTCCATAGTATTTCAATTTCACATACAACTGTGCAAATAATATGATTAAAAAAATATAATATAAAATATAATCAAATGTAACAATAATAAGTAATAAATTTATTATTCATTATCCGTTGTTTTTTATTATGGTCGAACATATAGATTTTTTAAAAAAAATCCGCTAAATCGAATGTATATGAAAAATCCATTAAATCCGTTTAATCGAGATAGAAAGATTTGGTTTTGTTGTACGTGAAAATGAAATTATGTCAAATTAGCCAATCGGAATTTCACACCATTGTTGTTTGAATACAAAATTCTGATTGGCTAATTTGAATTTCACGCGCGTGGATTTTAAATTGACGCAGATTCCAAATTCACACATAAATAAAGTAAATAGAAATAAAAAAATTAATTTGAAAAAAAAATAGCTTTCATTTTTTTATAATTATAAATACTCTTAAAGTAATCCTATATAATTTGAAATCAAAAAAAGTGAAAACTTGACAAAAATTATCTGAATAATTCAAAATGAAATTCAATATTTCTCTTCTCTTTTTGGTTATCTTTGCTGTCATGGCTTTAGCAAACCCAATTGATAACAAGAAACGAGGTACTTCATTTATTATTATCATTATATTTGATATCATTGTTTTTGAAAAAATACTAATAGTTGGCTTTCATTTTATT